AAAATATCACAAGTCTCGCTTTTTGAACCGTTGATTTTAGAGAATTGCAAGGTACAAGAATTGATACGCAAATTTATCAACATTTGGGGGGAACTGGCGGAGTGGCAAAATTCGAAAATGCATCGCATTGGCCCCGCAATTCATTTCGCAGTTGAAATGATTTTTTTTTATTTATTTTTTTACATTTTTCCTAGAAAGATCACGACAAAATTTACAGATCCTCTAATTTTTCGACTTCTTAGAGTATTCTACTAGACGTGAAAAATCATTGAAGTTTTCCCATTCGCCAACACGTGGTAGAGCGACAAAAATGGAATACACGGTATTAATTTTTGTTTTGTTTTGTTTTTTTAACATACTTTTTGTAGAAAAACCACGACCAAATTTACAGACCCTCTAATTTCTAGAGTTGTCGAGGCATTCTTATGTGTGCCAAAAATCGCGAAAGTTGGCATATTTTCCCCTTTGACCCACACGTGGTAGAGTGGCAAAAATGGAAAACACGACGAAGCCGCGTGACATTTATTTCATGGTCTAAATCTTTCGTTTTTTTTATATATTTTTCATGGAAACATCATAATCTAATATACATGATCTGAAATTTTCAGATTTTTTCGTAAATGTTTTTTAGCGCGGAAAACCGTCAAAGTTGATGCTTGAAAATCATTGGACCGGACCTGCTTGTGCCTGCCGGTCGCTGCCCCCCTTAAAACCCCGGTCCGTAGGGTCAGGAAACCAAATCTAGGTTGGCGAGGCTAGTGGTAGTTTAGCGATGATTGCATTGCACATCCTCATGATCACCCTTTTCTTAGGGACAAATAATACTAGTGCATCATAGGAGGCTTAGGGACAAATAATACTAGTGCATCATAGGAGGACGTACTAGTCCGCATCCAACCCTTCTCTGTGAGCTCCTTGATCCGTCGACAAAGTTCATATAACTCCGCGGAAGACACATCCTGTGTATTTGTTTTCTAGGTACCTTGCTACCTAGAATGACTTCAATTGCATGGGCTACCTCCCTATCAACTATGCCTCTAGGCTCCTCAAAAGGTCTGGATACTGAGCGACGACTGCTTCAAGTTATATCTCTGGGGATGTTTTTACGGTCTCCCCTTTTTCAGCAGCAAAGACTAGACACATGCCTTCCCCGCGGTTCTGCTTATAGTAGTTATAAAAGGTTGATGCACACATGCAACCATAAGACTCGACTAGCCTGCTTGCTTTGTACTTTTGCAGTGTAACGGTTCTCCCGCTTGACAACTTGTACGTCACCATCTTCCTATCCCGATCAAACAAAGGCTTAGCAACCTCGAGGTAATACACACCTAGTAGCATCGAAAGGCAGATCATCATTGACCAGGAACAAGATCTTGTGTCTCAGTTCCCCTCCTCCATAAGAGCTTGCTGGCTAAAGTGGATGCTTGGTCCCATAACCGTGACCTATCCACACAAGCACAACTGTGACATTCCGCGTAGAACCTATGTCTGAGAAGACAGCAACGTTTCGGCCACCTACATCGACTTCTACCATGAAATGTTAGCCGCTAGGACCTTTTGCTATCATCGCACAGGAGTCTCTAGGGTCTTTCTCTCTCCATTCACTCCTCTTATGACGCTGACACATCCTTCGTACAAAGTAGATTGGTCGAGATATGTTTGTGGGCGATAATCAGGTCAATAGCCTCGGGCAACAGTTGAAGTGCAGAGGGTATGGTCACCACTTCGGCATGAGTAGGAGAAACTTTAGCTCTTACTGGCCCGATGTATGTTTCTGGGAAGTGCACGCAGAAAAACCATCCGAGATGGAAGATCTCACAACCACTATGGAAGATGCTACCTTCCCGGTAACACACTTACTCTTGCAGCGGCTCATTGTGTGATCATGTGGTCCACAGTTGAGACACGTGCCTCGAGCAACGCGGTCACACCACTCTACGTACTCTAGTCCAAGCTTTCACCGAAATCGGTGGACCTTGCTCCACTTGACCCTTGGGTTGACTGCCCCTTTGTTTCCTGGCCCCCTTAGGCTTTTCTTTTACGGGAGCTACTACTCCACCCTCGATAGTCTTTCTGCTCCCGTCTACCTCTGTTTCTTCCCCAAGATCAAAGAAGTCTTCAATCTTTGTTGCATTGCCATCATGGTCGACGAACATGTGATTGCCCTTCTTCTTCCAATCTTGAGGCGACTTACTTTTCCTCCCATCCGTCAATGCGTGTTGTGCACTCCCAAGCTTGACCTCTATATCTAAGGCCTTCTTGCTAAACGAAGCAAAGTCATGCACATTTATGGATGCCTCATTGACCAACTTATTCTTGATGTCTGTCGGTAGATATTGCAAACAAGTTGTCGTGAGGATCTGCGGATCACACACACGTTAGGGACCACGATCAAGCTCTCTACAGCATCGGCACCTTGGTGATAATGAATGCAAATCAGAATTTCATGGCCATACTTGAAGCTAGTCAATTACATATACCGATTCTGTGTTTGCTAGATTAAAATATTCCAAGCAAATTACAACAAAGAATTATCCCATCCCTGTGAATGATGATTCTTTAGAGATTATATATCTTGCGGACAGACCAGTATCTGTTTGATCCCAGGTTTGCCAGCGAGTCGGTAGCCCTTTTGAGCCCCCTGGGATCATGCCACTTATTGTAAACCAACCGTACGAAATCCTCCAACGTTCGGGCTTGTGCCCAGTCAACGAAGTCTTGACCGTGCCCGTGCTGCTGCACCAACCCGCTCAACCATCTGGCTACTGATCCTCCGGAAAAGGATGCTGCAGGTTGTGCCTCACATATGTGGCCACTGTCCTCACCCAAGTGTTCAGGCTTAGGAGTCAGCAATAGTATCTTGGGTGTCCATTGCATTGATTGCCCAGGAACTTGTGACTGCTGCAATGGTTGGGACACTGGTGGGACAGGTGGCTGCGGCGGCGGCTGCACTGGCTGCTGGTGCAGTGCCTGTTGGAAAGGTTGCTGGACATGCGGCTGCCCTATAGCTGCAGCCGTTAGACGGGGGATCAAAGAAGGTGGTCCCAGGGCCTGCCCACTAACACCTGAACCGCTTGATGGACTGACGCCACCGCTTGATGGACTGACGCCAAACTGTGGGACAAAGGGGCCTCTCATCAGCGTCAACCATGGGAGGAGCTACAGCTTGCAAAACCACGTCGAAGCACCAAACAGCTATTGCAATGGAGCCAGCGGAGTGGCTCAAACCAACTCTGATAGCAAATTGCAAGGAAAATGAGCAATAGCGAAATACAGAATTCCAGATTGCAAAATCACGATGAAAGCAAGATAGTCAAGATAGTCAAAAACTGTACAGAAAGCAGACTCTCGCCACCACCAACAACGCAATCGACGCTCGCCACCACCAACAACGCAATCGACGCTCTTCCTCCTGTTGGTGCTCAGCGCCCAGACTACCATCCTACAGCTATACTACCAGCCTACAAAATGATGAAGCAACCGTTGACGTCAGCAGCAGCAGCCGACGATGATCATGCAAATGTCGACCATGTAGACCTCCGCCAAGACCAGGTACATGCGCTCACATCACTCTCCACCCCCGCCCACTCATGCTCACCTCGTCTTCCCCACCCACTTGCCTTCACACTCGAAGACCACTACCATAGCCTGCCAACTATATCCAAGCCAAGGCCGACTACGGAGGGCTTGGCTATGGCACTACCTTGGAGGAGCGCCCTCCTCCCAGCAACCGCACTTGTTTCCCAGCACTAGCACAAGCAAGCAGCCGCACGTGAGCTAACGGTCCAGCAGCGCTGCAGCATGCACTGCCAAGTGCCTGAATGACTGCTCCCTGGCCAGGCACTTCGCTATATGCAATGCGGCCGGCCTGGTTGGCGGTCTGGCCTCGCCTCGCGTGCGGCCAGTAGCTTCCAGTGGGGCGGAAGTGTCTGCGCCCGGGCCCATTCAGACTGTGGCCTGCGACCAAATTGGTTAGGTGTGCCCAACCACCCCACTGGCAGGCACAAACGTGTCGTGTTCCCTGCTTCGACTGTGCTTCCAGAAGAGCCTGGAAGGCTCACGTATGTTTCTGATTTTCACGAGCAAGGCGGATGTAACGAACTGACGCGTGGTAACTGTCTGGTGCCCACCAAGACTTGCAAAATTGACAGATTCAAGCCTCGTTGATATTCAGGGGGCCGCCTTAAGTTAGGGCAGGCACATACTTACTGTACGGGCCATTCACAAGCATGCCAAGGACCCAAATCTTCGCACTTTAGAGTTCTCGCCGACAATCAAACAACAGGAAAAAAAAAAAAAAAGGTGCGTTACGGGGGAGCAACCGTCTTCAATCCACACTCTTTTTTTTTTTCTTTTTTTTCTTTTTAATTCGATATTTTTGTGGAAGTTATTGTAGGTTGTAGGCTATATGTCATTCCCAGGGTTGGGGGGTATCAGAGCAACTGTCTGGATTTGGTCATTTCTGTCTCTGGATTATACACCCACGCGTGCACCTAACTTGGGTATAGGTCCCAATAGTCTTTGTCTTGTTCTTCGGGGTTTGTTTGCTGAGGATTCCCGGCCTCTCTTTTTGTGTGCGTAACCAAATGGGCTAAGGGCCTCGTTAGACACTCCTTGCGAGTTCTTTGAGCCACAAGGAAATGTCCTTGTGGGTTTTTAGGGGAATATGCGGCGTCGTTCCACTCATCCTTGGGGACCTCCCCCGAGGATGTTTCCTTGTGGCTTACCCGCGGCCGTTTTCATATGCAAATTAGCGGCCGCGGGGTCGGTCGTCCTTGGTCCAGCGTCTTTTGTCCATGTGGAGGCGGCGTGGTCCAGCGACGCGAGGCGGGAAACGACATTCGGCGGGCGACAAGAAATTTATCCCCAAGGGCGTGGGCATTTGAAATCCAAAATTCGAATGACTGCTCTGACGACGACAACGAAGTGTGGCTGGTGGTGCGAGGATGGCGTAGTGCGGAAAGGGGCTCAGCGCGGCGGAGGTTCCGTCCCGAGGCCGTTGCGACTGCGCGGGCAGCGTGTGGTGCGTCCATCGCCGTTGACCTTTGCACACGTCGACTGCGCCTTGCTCCTCGTTTCCGTGTGCAGGACTGTAAGCAGAGAAAAGGGGCCACCTTTCGACGGATGTCTTCAGCTTCTTCGTCGGGTGCGACGGCAGCGGAGCAACGGGTCCGTGTCCACGTCGCGGCCCTGGAGGGCGGCGGAGAGGGTAGACGTGATGTGTTGACGCCCCGTGAGCTGCAGGCCGTGGCGGCGGCCGTGTCCACGATCGTTCTTCGATGTCAACAGGAGAGGGCGTTGGGGCGACTGAAGGAGCAGTTGCGCGTGCGTAGACGGAGGACATTGACGCAAAATCCGGACGATGGGGTCAAATACGTGGCGACGTCGGAGGCTGTTGTTCAGTTGTGCTACGTGTTGGGTTGCGGAGTGATTCCTCGTGCGACGGCACGGTGGTGGGTGAAGCGCAGGACAGGAGGCACGTGGGAAGACCTCAGGCAATGCGACGACGTGACAGACGACTACTTCCGGGATAAGCTACGAATGTCGCCGCGAGTGTTCCAAGAGATCGCAGAGGCGTGTGCGCCTCATCTTCAGCGGCGGGTCACGTTCTACAGGGAGCCTTTGCAGTCGGACTAGATTGTGGCGTACTCACTGTACAGGTGGGCTACAAGGGAGACGTACGAGAGCAGCACGTGCAACTTCGGGATTGGACGAACTTCTGGCCTGGTTGCCGTCCGCGACGTTACTGCCGCGCTGTTAAGGGTGTTCGGAGAGAAGATCGCGTGGCCGACTGGAGTTCGTAAACTCGTGGTTCTGCAGGCGTTCGTTGATAAAGGGTTCCCCAACTGCCACGGTTGCATTGACTGTACTCACATCTACGCGGACAAGCCGGCGAACGCTCCGAGCGATAACTACTATGACATGAAGCGTCGTTTCTCCATCGTCTCGCAGGTTGTCGTCGACCTGGACTTGCGTGTGCTCGACGTGCACATGGGATACTACGACATCAGGGTGCTGCAGTTGTCCAGCCTGTCGCAGCGCGGGAGGAGGGGTCGTTGTTCCGTGGTCCCCCCATGACACTGCCGTTCGGTGTGAAGACGAACGGGTACGTCCTGACGGACAATGGTTACCACCGTTCTGCGGACACACAAGACAAACCTGGACACGCTCCCGCAGCAGTTCACCGCCATCTGTATACTGCACAACATACTGATCGACACAGGAATCCCCTTCGACGAGAATCTGCTATGGGAGGTTGATGCTAATGGTGTGCGACGTCGTGTGGACCTGGGGATGGAAGAGCCCCGTCAGTCGAGGGGGAGGCAACGGGAGTGGGGAGGCGGCGGGAGCGGGAGAGGCAGCGGGAGCGGGAGAGGCAGTGGGAGCGGGGGAGGCAGTGGGAGTGGGAGAGGTAGCGGGAGTGAGGGAGGCAGCGGGAGCGAGGGAGGGAGCGGGAGGGGAGTGTGTGTGTATGTGTGTGTGTGTGTATGTGTGTGTGTGTGTGTGCGTGTGTGTGTGTGTGCGTGTGTGTGTGTGCGTGCGTGGATGGGTGTGTGGGTGGGTGCGTGCGTGTGTGCGTGTGTGGGTGGGTGGGTGGGTGGGTGCGTGCGTGGGTGCGTGCGGGGGTGGGTGCGTGCGTGGGTGGGTGCATGTGTGCGTGGGCGGGTGCATGTGTGCGTGGGCGGGTGCATGCGTGGGTGCGTGCGTGTGTGTGGGCATGTGTGTGGTGCGTGTGTGTGTGTGTGCGTGTGAACGTGTGGCGAGGCGACAGCCTCCCAACAATCAATCAATCAAATCAATCCATCAATCAATCAATCTTTTCCAGCATTTTTTTTCTTTTCTTTTTTTGTTTTTTACAATCAATCAATCAATTAACCAATCTGTAATGACCTTCCAAACACGGGCTGAGACACACAGCTGGTTTCTGAGTTTTGCGCATGGAATGAATGCCTTGGTGAGTTTCCCGCTTGTCGCTGAGTTCTCTAAGTCTGTGTGTGTGCATGCTTGGTGGTCTGCATGACTGTCTGAGTGCTTGTCGGCTTGAGTGTCTGTGTGACCCACAAGGGCACTTGTGGGCCTGAAGGGCCGATACTTACCTGTGGCCATGATATTGAGGGTTGCAGCGGGGAAAACACTCGAGTGGCGGGGAAAGAGGCCGGCGACACTTGAAGCGGCGGAAAACACTCAAGTAGCACGTAGCCCGGTACCACACCGGGTAGTTGAGGCTGAATAGAAGAAGACAAAAGTTGGCATTTTTAGAGGCCCAGTAGTTGTAGGCTAGGTCTAGGCGGGTACCAGTCCAACCAGTCTGAGTCTAAGGCCTGTACGGGCAATATCAGAGTTTGCAATGATGTTTCCCTCCAAAAGGGAGGAGGTACCAGTTGCTTGGAGGCCGCGCGGTCTGGGAGGTCACTCGCCAAGAGGCAAGTAGCCCCCTATACCTCCAGGAGGAGCGAAGTGTGCTAGTTCGGCGACACACTGGTTGGAGCGTTGGCTGGAGCAGCGCTAGCCTGGAGCAGTGCTACTGGGGAAGGAGCAAGGACAGGAAGAAGACCATGACTAGGAAGGGGGAGCGCCAGAGGTACTTACCTGGCTATGGTGGTTACCATCTTCATCGCCTTGGTGGGCGCTGCAGCAAGAAGGCCCCAGCGGGGGTAGAGCTACACCAAGAAGCCTCGAGGCAGAGCCAGGCATGAAGGCCTGAGCTGGAGCAGCCATAGCTGCTTGAGTTGTCTTCTGCACATCAGGGCAAGGCCCTAGCAGTCTCCCATAGCGAAGGCTTTCGAGAAGAGGAAGGAGAAGGGTGCCATCGCTATGGTGGACCTCATGTGATACCTGCAGTACAAGACAGATTCGGACATTGATTCTGGTTCAGCCATTCAACATTGTTATTATAATTTCTTGATTGAATAAGAGGGGAGGAGATAAGGAGGAGGAGAGTGGTTGATGAAGAAGAAGAGCATGATCAGTGGTCTATGCTGGTGTACATCTTCTTCTTCTTTCCCTCTCTCTCCTCTCAAGTTCATTCTTGTTTTTTTTTTGTAATTGGACATTGTACTTTCTGATGAATGTGTACTCGAAATTGGCCAGGATCATAACAAATCAGTCAACCAATCAATCAATCAATTCATCAATCAATCAATGAACTGGTTTAACAATGGACTATTCTATTTGGGTAAAAAATGCGGCGAATATTCTAAACTACTAGCAGCAAGAAAGCACCAGCAGGAAATGAAAATTCACCAACAACTACAACAACTCGAACACCAAGAGCAACCTGAGGATCATCCAGAAATACAAGCACTGAGGCAACAACTCCAGTTTTTCGCCACACATTGATGGGAAGGAATACGAGTCAGAGGACGATTAACAAGATACCAGACCGAAGACACAATGGATAATTTTTTTTTCAGCATGGCCCGCGCGCGTTCGCACAGAACAACCATCGAGGCATTATACGATCCACAAACAGGTCACCAGGATATCGCCACCTCCACCCCACACTGTACACAGATAGCAAGAGCCTTTTACCAAGACCTGTTCACCTCCAGGTGTGCCCGACAAGAAAGAAATGCTAGAGAGAAAGAAATACGGGAGTTCTTGGAACCATTGGAAAAGTCCCTGACTGGACAACAAAAAGTAGATCTGGATCGACCCCTGTCCAAAGATGAAATATGGACGACGATGATGCAGATGGAAGAAGAGAAGACATCGGGCATATATGGGTTTCCAAAAGAATTTTGGGAGACCTTCTCGACTCAGATGGCCCCGGATCTCATGGATTTCTATCAACAGGTGTGGGAAACAGGGAGAATGGGGGAGTTGGTGGGACAGGGAGTTCTCACCTTGTTACACAAAAAGGGAGACAAGATGGATATATGTAATTACAAGCCAATAACCCTGCTCACCGTGGTCTACAAAATGTTGGCGAAGGCTCTGGCAAATCAATTACTCCCGGTCCTGGAGGATATTATCCACCCGACATAAACCGGGTTCATAAAGGGGCGAAGGATACAGGATAACATACTATTACTTTATGAAATACTTAAGCTAACAAGACAGGACAAACAAAACGCGGCAGTCATCTTCATAGACTTTGAAAAAGCCTATGACCACGTGGACTGGCTTTTCCTAGACAGATGTATGGAAAAAATGAATATAGGGCCAGTCTTCGGGCGATGGACTGAAATACTCCACCACAACGCAACCACATGTGTCCAGGTCAATGGAAGGATAGCGCCGGCCTTCCCGCTGCAACGGTCGGTCCGCCAAGGGGACCCTTTGACACCCTTCTTGTTCATTATCATAATCGAGGCGTTGGCAGCAAACCTCCGCACCAATAAAGACCTCAGGAAATTGCAGATCTCGGCTATACCGGAAGAAGCAATCCCGATCTGTTCGATGTTTGCAGACGACCTGACACTTATGGTTGATGCAACCGCAACAAACATGGAAGAGATCAGACGATCATTCAACCGATTTACAACAGTCTCATATATGACTGTCAATTGGGGAAACAAAACCCTGGGATGGTGGATTCACCACCAAGGGACGCGCCCCCCCGAGCTCCCGCAGGTCAAATGACTCCCGAAAACGGCCCCGGTCAGAGTGCTGGGAATTATGCTGACGACACTGGGTAAACCTGCATCGAATGATGAGTGGATCCTGAAACCTGCACTGGAGAAACTAGCCCGCTGGAAGGACCGTCAAACCTCCCTTATCAGAAGGGTATTAGTGATCAATAGTGTGATACTAGCGGCCCTCTGGTTACAAATCTGCTATCTGGGCCCTCAGCAACGACAGGTGACAGCCCTGCTATGGAGAGGTAATGGAGAATTGCAAAATGTCATAAGCAGGGTCGGGATGCCTGTTAAGGGCCCATACAACAAACATGTGCCCGCCCTAAGTGAAGGCGGGCTCCTGAATATCGACGAGGCCTGAATCTGTCAATTTTGCATGTCTTGGTGGGCGCCAGACAGTTACCACGCGCCAGTTGGTTGCATCCACCTTGCTTGTGAAAATCAGAAACATATGCGAGCCTTCCAGGCTCTTCCGAAAGCACAGTCCAAGCAGGGAACACCGCACGTTTGCGCCTGGGTGGTTGGGCACACCTAACCAATTTGGTCCCAGGCCACTGTCTGAATGGGCCTGGTCGCAGACACCTCACGATGAAAGACTACACAATGCGCGCCGGCATCGTCACTGAAAGGGTGACCACGCTCCCACGTAGATTGGAAGGCGAGTAAAACGAGCTATCCGGTACCCCGCCGCCACGCTGGGATAACCTGTGCGCCTCCAAGTGGACGTCACTGGAATTTCAAATTTCGGACGGGAACATTCTCGCCTTTTTATTCCTTTTCTTTTGGCGCCCCCCACGTAGTTGTGCCCTTCGCCTGTGGACCAACATGCCTCTTGAGTGAACATCCCAAAACAGAGCACGGACATACCTCCCGCGGCCGCGGCCAGATAGAGAAAAGAGAATACCAAAAAAAAAAAAAAGAGAGGGTGAAATGAGGACAGGGCAGTAAACTGCTAATCTATATATGCATGGCCAAAAGATTGCAGCCTGGAAAACACAACAAACAAAGAAAAGGAGAAGAAGACAGAGAAAGAGAAGGGAGTGAAAAATAAAAGTTTCATAAATGAAAACAAAGTATCAAACCAGACATGCTTCAAACCTGATAACTTTCTCGAAGTGTTTTTGGGTTTTGCTTTTCCCCTATTCCTGAAAACCTTCAGCAAATAAATGAAGCATTGAAAAAAACAGAGAGACATGCAAAGTTGCGATCAAACGGAAGGAGCTTCCTTACCACTCCCATAACTGTTTAAAAATAGTAAAGGATGTACTACTAGGATAACTACCCTTACCAAGGACACAGTGCAAGTGCATACAATTTCAGCAAACTGGAAAACATCCAGCGGACGGAAAGAGCATCGGAAAGCGCTTCCACAACAAAAAATCTTTGTCGCCTCCGCGCTCCGGACACTTCCTCCTACCTCTCTCCACTGATAGCATAGAAGACTCCCTTGGACCCTTTCCGCTGCATAATCATCAACAGCTCCGTCAAAAACCGGCAAGCAACCAACTGTTCGCTTTCAAGGGTGGCATTTGTAGATCCAGCCTTAGTCAGTCCATCTCCCATCTTTCACTCCCTTTCTTCAAGTCCGAACCTTGTCCCCCGTCCAAAGCCCAAACTTTTCCTCGTCGCCTGTCGAAAGCCGAAATCGGCGAAAATGTTTCGTCGTCACCTGTTGAAAGCTGAAAGGCTGTAACTTTTCTGCGGAACGACGAAACCGATTGAAAGCCGGGATTTTTATCGCGTCGCTTTCAAAAGCCAAAGCTTTTCCTTGTAACTGGTTGAACGCCGAACCTTTGCCTCGCCACTGGTCGAAAGAAGAACCTTTCTTTCCTCAGCATATCATTGTCTGTAGACTCTGCACCATCTCAGCCACTGCCTGAAAAGTCTATTGCGCCGTTCCAACACAGATCCTGCTGCTACTAGAGCAGAGGAAGCAGCCCAGGGGAAAACCCACTGCTGTGTGGAGGCAGAAGTTAGCACCACAGAGTTGAATTGCCCTGTACCTTGTGGAGCTAGCCTGTGGAGCTCACTTGTGGACTAGCTCACTAGGAAAGCATGTGGTACTGTTGGCGTAAAACTAGAAATACCAAATACATAATCACTAATTAATATCGATGTTAGTTAACTTACAAGTTCTTACCAATAGCTAATAATGCAGCTGTTCGGTTTTGCTCTACTGACATGGACACTGGATTAAGCAGAGTTATAAAATATATGGTTGGTATAGTGTGCTAGGAAGACCAGGTGTGAGTACATTCCTGTACACAAGGTATATCTGCAACTCCCTACTGTTGGTGCAAACATGAGAGAAGTGATTAATAGCTGATGATAGGTATGGACAACACTAGAGCAACAGAATGGCAGTAAATGTGTGTCAGTGCAAACAGGAGGGAGCGGTATAACTGATACATATGGACACCACTAGAGAAACAGAATGACAACGAGTGTGAACTGTACAGTTGAAGTCTTGAAGATATCCACTATTGCTGAGATCTACAGGCATTTCAGCTGTACATAACTACCTGCACTGAGTAGAACCAACGGGTATTTTCGTCTGTACATCGTATTCTCAGACACTCCGGCCTGGAATAACGCGAGGCTCACTAGACCGGGATGATTCGACGGTTCTTTTCTTACAATGATTTCCCTGTAAGATGGACACAGTCTGTTCTTGACATTCTAGCAAATCCCTATAGAAGTCCAGTCGTGGTGTGTGTGTGTGTGTGTGTGTGTGTGTGTGTGTGTGTGTGTGTGTGTTGTCATGTTTGCTAAACACAACTCCACAGAAAAAGCATGACTGTGTCAGACTGTTTTGTCAGACTTTGATGATGTTGAATGTGTGTGTGTGTGTGTGTGTGTGCGTGGACATACTGTCACAATGTTTCGCCAGGCTTCCATCCACTTGTTAGGATGTTGTGTTGTATGTGTGCACATGCATGTGCGTGGCGCACTTGCGTACGTGTGTCCTGCACGTGCGGGTGCATGCGCGCGCGCGCGCGCGCGAGAGAGAGAGAGAGAGAGAGAGAGAGAGAGAGAGAGAGAGAGAGAGAGAGAGAGAGAGAGAGAGAGAGAGAGAGAATGCTGCAGCAGCAGTCAGCTTGACCTCTCCGCTTGTTCGAATGTAGGGAAGAGTGAAGGAGTGCTCGCCACCCAAAGTAGTGTCTGGATGCTGCAAGGCTCTAACAGGCCCTTTGTCTCAACAAAGGACATTAAAGCTGACCACTTAGACCATAGATACCCGTGACCTCACAACGCTCCCATGGCCTCCAAATGGGAGTAGGAGTCTCATTGACTGATCTTATGGCCTTCCAACATAAACACTCATGTTCCAGGGCTCTGACCTGTTTCGAGTATGGTCTTCGCCCCCTTCCTCTTGCTAGTACCTTCACATTTTCGCATCAATCACTCAGCTCCGATCAACGGACCGAGATCTGCAATGGTGGTTATCTACTGACGGTCTTGGAAGTAGCCTTGAGACAAGAGTCTATAGTCAAAGGAATTGCTCCACCATTCTCCAGCTGCTCGCTGCAAATGTTTCCACTACCTATTGAATGGATCTTTCCGCAGTCAGCCGAGGCGAAAAGCCACCAACTTTGTGATCACATCGGTATCACATTCACCCACATGCCACTGAAACCTCCTCGCAGTTTTGATCCATGACTGACTTTCATCTGACCACTGCCAAACCCGACTCTGCGAGGCGCGAGGACACCTTCTCAATGCCTGAGAATCGCACGAGTAGGTATGGTTGGGGTCCAGGTCCCCTCAAGGAGCCACTGGCTTGAGGGGACCCACTGGCTTGGTGGTGCCACAAAACACGTACTGCTGTGTGATACTTCCGCAAGCTTACGAGTTTTGTGCCCATGAGTTTTTGCACCTGGAGCTTTCCACATACGAGTTTTGCAGCTGTGAGTTTTTTTGAGGCTGCACTTTTTGCAACCGTGTGCTGGCAGGCTGTCAGATGTACAATGGGACGCTGGACCCGCTTTCCAGCAGGTGCTGCTCCCCACCAATAGACCGGAGCACTCAGGTCTCTTGCTAGGAGGGGGTGCTCTTACCTCCTCTCCTAGCAAGGACGCTGGGTTAAAAAAAAAAAAAAAAACGTTTTGCAACCGTGGGTTTAGAGGATCCTGGCTGATGCAGCGAGCACTCAAATTCTTCTGTATGATTGCTGTTGAGTTTGAATTCTCCACAGGAGCACAGATGACCTGTTGCAAAGACTCTCGGGCTGTTACCTGTGAAGGTCATAAGAAGACAACGAGAAGCTGCTGACAATCAATGCTGGAATTGAGAAGAAGAATACCAAGTCCGTTTCCTCCACATGATTGCTGTCGAGTAGTTTGAATCCTTTCATAGGATTGCAATCATCCGTTTCCTCCGGATGATTGCTGTCGACTCCGTTTCCTCCAGATCGTTGCTGTCGAGTAGTTCGAATCCTTCATAGGATTGCAGAATACCTGTCACCCAAGACAGTTGTGTGTACCACTCATTGGTGCAGGCGATTAAGAAGATACAGAGATCCTGCCGACATCAGTACCGAAAGGGAGAAGAATACCAAGTCGGTTGCCGAGGCTACTTCCACCATCTTTGCTTTCTCGAACATGTTGACGAGGAGTATCATAACAATTACATGTCCCAGCTTTGTCTTGAGCTCGTCTAGACTCTGGATCTTCATCCAACGTGGTCTTTCCTGCTAAGTAAGGCAGCGTAGTCACAACAGAATAGATGTCAGTTGCCTCTCCCAGTTATGGGACTTCCTATAAACATACGTAATTGTAAAGTTTGGGGGCACACACACACAAAAAAAAAAAAAAAAAGAGGTCCAAGTCATGAGACAAATGTCTGAGTCTGAAGCAAGAACAGAAAGGAAAAGCAGGCTCATGCTACCTTCTTTCCTCCAAACAAAATTCACGGTCATTATAACTGTATCTGGCCTGAAAGCTAAATACAACTATAAGGAGTGTTGTGAGGACCGGGTGTTCTGTTTGAGACAGGGCTGGGCTGGCAACGGGTTGGGTCACCTGGGCCAGACCCGTCCAGGGGGGGTGAGCTGGGAAACCGGTTGGGCCAAAAAAATGCCTTTTTTAAAGTTTTTTTTTTTTTTTTTTTTGTTGATTGTGGGTTCTGACTGCGCTTGCTGAGATCTGTCGGATTCCGTGATGAAAATTTGAAGGTTTGATTTTTGTTTTTTTTTTTATTTTGGGGGGG